TTCCTCCAAGATATTGGCCAAGGCCAAAAAGGGCAGCATAGGACCCTTAATTTTCCAGAGAAGGAAGTCCAGCTATTTTCACTCAAGCTTCAGAAAAAAGAAAAAAAAAAAGAAAAGAAAAGAAAGAAGAAACAGTACTTGATTTCTCAAAGCTGGTGGCGTAGGGGAAGAATTTGGATGCTACAGATGCATTAAGTAATCAGCAGACACAGGTTTGGGCAGTCACTCAGGGCAGTCGTTCCCACCTCCTGCCCAGGCAGTGGGGATCAGGACCATCCATCCCCTTGGTGCCTCCCAGCTCCCTGGGATACTGGGAGGGAGCAGCAGGATCGTGACTCAGCCCCCACGTGAGTGGGTTTCCTTCCTGTACCGCCAGCCCAACCTTCTGATGTTTTGTTCGCTTGCGAAGCTCTGGGAGCCAGGATCTGTGACTGGTGCGGGAGCTCCTGGAAAATCAAAGGGAAAGAACAACATCTTGGGCTTGCTGAGGCCCTCCTCGCTCCCCTGCTGAGATGCATGGGCTTCCCAAGCTCTGAAGGAGGAAGGGAAGGGCCATTCCCTTTTCCCCCCACTCCTCTCTCTGCCCACAGGGTGGGAAATGGGACCCCAGCAGTCCTTCTTACACTGAAGTGGTAAACAGGGGTGGGGAAGAAGTTCGGCCCTATAAATCATCCTGGACAGGAGATTGCCAGGTTTTCTCTATTTTTGCACTTTTCTACCCTTATGCCAAAGACAAAACTCTCCATCAGAAATTGCTCAATGTTAGGTTAAAAAAAAAAAAAAGAAATAACAATTAAAAAAAGAACAATACAAGCCCATACAAGCTACCAAAAGCAACAAAAACTACAGATTGTGTGGTGGTGTCCAGACTCAAATTCTTGTCCCTAAAACCCCTTTGGATTACTCTCCATGATTCAAATCCTCTCTGTTGTTCCCACTACCCAAATCTTGCTGCAGGACAAGCTGGCCTAGGCACTGCTGTACTGAGAGCTGTTATAATTTTATAGAGTGGAAGTGCAAATCCATTGCAGGTTTCTTTCTGTCTCATCCTCTGTCCAGGGACAACCCTTAAAAAACATGCTGACTGTCAGGCAGTGCAGAGGTTTTGTCTTGAGCCTTATGGATGGTACTTGAAGGTCTACAATTATAAATGAAAGAGAAGGGTCTAGCCAGCACTAGGTTTTACTGATTGCTTACAAAAAGACAGAAATCTGTCCTTTGGAGAAGATTCCCATTTATCCCACTGCTTCCACATCAACTGCACAATCTCTCCCTTTTCCTTGGCCAACTTGACCCTGATGGGGTCTCAGATGTAATTCTTCCATCCTCTTTCCAATTTCCCTGTCTGCTTGACAGAGGTGGGCAGCAGCCAAGCCTAAGCCTTCAGCCTTAGAGACCTCAACTCCTGCCCTGAAGGGACTCTCCCACATACTGGGAGAGCTGAGCAAGGCCTCACTGGGGCTGAATCCCCTGTATGTGGTGGGATTCAGTAAGTGTAGGGGCAAGCAACATACTGGGTTTGATCAATCAGGTTGATGTGGAAATTGCTCTTGACTGATGCTGGGCCTGAGCCTGTAGGGTTGAGGTTGAACAACCCTACAGGCTGAGCCTGTAGGGCTGAGTCTCCAAAGAGGTGGTGGAAACTCCCTCCTTGATCTCCCACAGCCCCTGGCCATGGTGCTGGGCACCCTGCTCGAGAAGGACCTGCTGGGCAGGGAGGACCTACAGGTGCCTCCAGCTTCAACTATTTTGTCATTCTCTGGGTTGACCTGGCACCAGCCAGTCCCTGGCTTGTTTCCCCAGCAACCTCTGCTTTTGCCCTGTTACCCTCCTGTCCCAGTCCTGGTGAGGAGGAAAACCCCCCAGTCCTCCTTCCTTGAGGCCAACACTCTGCTCTGTGCCTCCAGCCCTGTTTTCCCATTCCCAGTGTTTATCCTCCTGCACGTAGCCCTGAGGGAGCCATAGGATTGCATGGAGGGAGAAGTTATTTTTCCTTGACATAAACAGCCAGGCCTTTCCTCAGCCTCCTCTCTTGAAACATGGAGGTAGGCCCTGGACTCATAACATCCGGCAGGAGGGGCTGGCCTTATCTGCCAGGAAACACTCAGCTCCGGATACATCCTCCCTGCTCCCGGCACCCGAAGCAGCTCCCATTGGCAGTGCTGGGCAGGAAACCACTCAGCAGCTTGTCTCAATCCCTCCTCTGGAGGGATGGGAGGGAGGGTCTGAACCTTCCCTCCCTGCTCCGAGGAGGAGCTGCAGTTCCATGGGGTGTGTGGACCAAGGGGTGGAAGGAGAAGGATATCATTCGTGAACTGGAATCTGGGGTAGTGGGTGGTTTCATGGATCTCCCTTAGACTCTGCCCCTGGTTTGCAGGGAGACCTCAGTGTGATCCCCTCAATCAGTTTTTGCCTCCATTTCGTTCCTGAGCTGCCTGCCTTCTGCTCTGGGAGCAATGGAAGGAAAAGAATAATCTCACATCTGATTTTGTAGCAGGGGGCAGATACCCCTTGTGCCAAGGACAACACCGAGACTTTGTCCTGTTCAGATTCTTGGTAAGAGGCAGCTCATGTTGCAATACCAGACAGAAAAAGGATGGGAGGGAATGAAGTGTTAGCTCCATTTTACAAACAGGGAAACTGAGTCACGGAGATGCTGCTTGTCACCAGGGTCTGTCCCTGCTCTGTGTCATAGGGGCAAGCCCTCTGTGCCACCCAGCTCACACCCAGCTCTTCCTGCCATTGGTGATGTTCTCTGAAGAGGGCAAACCCTGGGATCAAGCTGCCCCTTTCCAAAATACTCCCTCTTCATGAAGCTTTGTGACATGGGGGTCACCTCCCCCCATCAGAGGTCAGGACATGAAGTAGAGGAGTCACCACCTGCCCAAGGGACATGAAGGTCATCTCCCATCATGACAGAGCATGTCACATGCTACAGCCCTCAGCCAGTCCCCATCCATGCTATCCGGGAAGGTGACCTCATCCTGGCTCCCAATACCCAACCACCGAGAGTCAAGGGCAGCCTGGGGACAAGGGTTGGACTCATTCTCTGGCTACTTCTTGGCAAGGAGAGGGTCTTATTCTGGCCCTGCCTTGCCACCCCTGAGCTGCAGCCCGGTCTGAGGTCATTTTATCCCTTCCTGCAGCTCTGATTTGATTTTCCTGCTGGTTCCCAGCCCGGAGAAAGCAGACCACAAACCACAGGACTCTGGTGTGCACAGGAAGGGAGGGGAATCATGCCCAGGAGTGATGAGGAAAGAGTCCTTGGTGTGGAGATCTCCCCAGCATTTCTAAACCTCCATGACCATCACTCCTCTGCAGAAACATTCCCCTCCCAAGCCGATAAAAAGGTTCCTCTCCACCTCTATTAGCCTCTCATTCTCTACCCGCCCCCTGCAGCTGTGCCTGGGAGAGTGTTGAATCCCAACAGCTTGTTATGGGGTTGGGGTAGAACTCATATCATGCCTTCACCAGGCTGCCAGAGAATGGACAAACAGCTCTGCTCCCGAATTTCACCTCCACTGTCGGTGTGTGCAGCGAGGGAGACGGCGGCTGCTGCCGGCGCTGGGCGTGAGCCCAGATCCGGATGGCAAGACCTGGCTCCCAGGAGCCACACCTCACCTTGGCTGCAGCTCCCGGTGCCCTCGGGGGGCCCCCGGCTCCCAGCCTGGGCCTGCAGCTGCTCCCGGCGTTCTGAGCATGGGGTGACACACTGCTGCTGCTGCTGCTGCTGCTGCTGGTGCTGCTGCTACTGCTGCTGCTCCTCACGTGGCTCTGTGCTGGGCGAGTGGGGACAGGCTCATCTCATGGGAGTCACAAGGCTGGAGTGTGCAGAGAAACCCCTTTTCCCCCAGGAGACAGACTCTATCCATCACTGAGAGCTCTGAGCACGGGCTTTGCAATTTCCAACAACAAATATGTGAGAAGAAAGGCAGGGACGATGCTTTTGAGGTAGTTGAGTCAATCCCATGGCAATCAGGCCATGGTAACAAGGAGTAGGAACTGCCAGTGTCCCACAGAGAAGGTCCCATGAGAGGGGATGGATACACAGAGCTGACAAGAGCAGGAGTTAATCTTGTTTGTGGGCTCTCCTCACCAGCAGGATGTGTCCCACCTCACCCTATAGCAGAGCTGGCAGAAAGGACCCTTTGCAGTGTCCCTGTGGTGGGTGTGCCCTCCAGTGAGAGTTTTCTTGGAAGGAAGCAGCCATTCGAGTTCACTGGTTGAAAGGCAGAGCCGTGGCAGAACCATTACACACCATCAGTGCAGGTACCACTGGGCTTTTTGCCCTTGTGTCATGCCAGGGCAAGAGTCACAGCAGTGAGCGATGCCAGCGGGTCACCCCAAGTCATCCAGTTCACAGCAGGGTGCCCAGCTTCACGTGGCCAAGTGTGGGTTTGCATGTCTCAGCAATGGGCAAGGGAGAACACAGAACTATCTCCATGGGGACAGAGTTGGGCACGAAGGAGTACCACAGGACTAGGTGATCATTATGGTCCTTTCTAAACCAAATCATCCTATAAGCACAGGACAGGGGTATATTGGTGCCTCCCTGGACAGTCATCCACCTTCTGGGACTACAGGCTGCCTGAGACACAGGTCAAGGAAGTTTGGAAGGCAAGGCAGCCTGGTTGGGTTGGGTTGGGTTGTATTGCACTGGGCTAGGTGACCTCTGGAGCCCCTTCCAGCCAACATACACAGGCAGTCATCACAATGTGCATTAGGAAACATGCTCCTCTATCACCAGTGCACACTGACACGCCAGAGGCAGAGCCCTGCCTTAACCTCACTGTATCACCTACGTAGAACCCAGCTCTGAAAGGTCTACCCACAAGATGATGAAAGTGGGATCAAGGACGACGTGCTGCCCCGCCAACACACTGCAAGGAAAGGTATGCATAGGTCCTACCTCAAGGTGTTCCATCAGAAAACAATCCACAGTTTGTAAAGATAACCACAGATCTTTTTTATTAAAAACAAAAACAAAACAATAAAAAAACAGAAGTAGAAGAGTTTGGCTGAAACAAAAAACAACAAAAAAAACCCTTAAAAAAATAGCACTCGCACAGGAAATGTTTCTCCTTTGAAAACTTTGTCAATAGCTACAGCAATTTAAATCATAAAACAATCATTGTATAAAAACATATTTATTTAAATTAAATATTTTATGCAAACTCATATGTACACTCATTCAAAATGCATAGAGTCACACAAAAAAGATGGAATGTATTAGCTTAAAAACCTGTGAAGTTGTGTTTTTTAAGTATTATTTGCAATTATTATTAATACACGTCCGGGACTGAAAACCAGAAAATCATAGCCACGCTACTAACTAATCATTACCAAGTGCCATACAGTAAACACTAAGATTAATCATGTCATATAACTGATTTAAAATAAAGCTTCATCTTTATGAAAAGAAAGAGAACTCGAGCAATACAAAATCCGAGGGGAGGAATAATGGAAGGAATAAATCAATGTACAGCTTTATTACAAGCAATAACACGCGGAAGTTAGAGGAGACATTGGGCACTGCGGCTCGAAACATTAAGCGTTCGTCCTCAAAGGATGCTTGATACAAATGTGTCTGCTACATCATCATCTCTTTGCCAAAGTGCTCATCCGAAGGCTTTTTCCTGGCCTGGTGGGTGCGGAGCTCCTGCCGCTCCCACGTTGGGATCGCTCTTGTTGGAAGGCCAAGCAGGATCCATAGAGGGCCGGATCCTGCCACGCACCCCTGATCTCAGCCTCACCCGACATGCATGGAGGTTGCACCCCAAGCTGCCTCACCCAGGGCTGCTGCCTTGTCCTCTGGGGTGTCCCCAGGGATGAAGACATCACTTGGGACAACATGACATGTTTGGGGATGGGGGAAAGGCAATGTTTGACTCTGCTGGTGTGCTTGGCCTGGCTGGAAGGCAGCATCACCGACACCAAGAGCAGGGACACGGGGCAGCACTGCTTGCCTGGGCCCAAATCCCAGAGTAGGCTCTTGGGGTAAAGCACACTCACAGATCACGTGCTCATTTAGCAAAATCTTCCCTTTTTCCCCACTTCCTGACTTCTCCCCTTCAAAGGGGTTTCACCCATGCTGTCTGTGAGCCTCCGCTCCAGCCTCCAGACTCCAAAGCAGAATTGAGGGCACCCGAAAACAGGATGCAACCTTCCTGTGCACCCAGACCATCTCTGCTTTGGAAGAGGGGCTTTGACAGCAGGAACCCCCCCTTGGCCATTTTGGAGCACGACACCCAACGCTTTGCACCTGTGGCAAGCTGACAACCGAAATCCTTTACCTAAGCACCAAGGAGACTCCATGGCCCTCGTGGTTTGGATTCGGACACCCTAAGGGGAAACGAGCAGTGTCCCCTTGCAATGCTGTCAGGCCCTTCCTCAGCAGGCCTACGTGGCCACGGCTCTAAGAGACGCTGTAGTTGTTGTAGTAGGTGGCCGTGGCGTCGGCAAGGACGGAGATGAGGCTGGTCTCTGCAGCGTGGGAGCTGCCAGCTGTTGAGGCTGCAGGGACGTGTCCATTGGCCAAGCTTCCAGCATGGTGGTCGCTGTGGCCGGGGGTGTTGAGATATTGATCAAATTCATTACGGTCCATCTCCCCCAACAGCTCAGCTTGGCTCAGCTGGTCCAAGGTATCAAAGCCATGGTGGTCAGGCGGTGGAGAGAGCTGGCCCAGGTGGGCATGGAGGCTGGTGGGGTGCAGAGAGGGGAAAGCGGGTGTGTAGTAGCTTGGAGGAGGAGGAGGAGGAAGGGGAGGACAGCTGGAGGCCGGGGGGATCATGCAGGAATTTGGCTGCGGCATGGGGCTGAGAGGGTGGTGGTTGCACTGGAGGGAGCTGCCCGCATACTCCGGGGAGAAGGAAGCTCCGGCGAGGTGGGAGCGGTGATGATCCTCAGGGCAGGGTGAGGAGAAGAAGCTCTGTTCAGGGTCTATGGCATCCAACGGAGACATCTCGGGAGGGGTGGGCAGCCCATAGGGGTAGGCGTCCACGCTGGTGCTGCTGCCGCTGCCTGGGGGATCCCGGTAGCCCCGGATGGGCGGCAGCCCTGGGCGAGGGGGATACTCACCCGGCCCCTCTTTCTCACCCCCAGCCCGGCCACAGGTCCGCTTCTCAGGCACGGCGTTTTGGTCCCGTGCGAGGCTGCCCAGCAAAAAACCGGGGTCTACCCTCTTGCAGATCCTCTTGACTTGCTTCTTCCTCCGCGGCCGGTACTTGTAGTTGGGATAATCTTGCATGTGTTTGACCCGCAGCCGCTCGGCCTCCTCCACATAGGGTCGCTTCTGTGAGAGGCTCAGAGCCTTCCAGGATTTGCCTGCAAAGGAGAACAGAACTCCCCTTAGCACCCGCAGATGCCGTCTTCCCGGCTCCCAACCCATAGGAGGGTTGGGGTATCCCACTGCCACGTAGAAGACGGATCCTACAGACACCGTATGAGGACGAGACGGTGAGGAAAGGGATTTGAAGCCTGTTTGCCAACATCCTACCCCCATCCTGAGTCCTCAAGCAGGGTCACGCTGTGCTCAGTGTGTGCCGAGCCCCACTGCAAACAACCCAAGGCAAACAAACTCCCCCAGGGCTGGATCCTGCACTGCCTGGCTGGGACTCAGAGCCCTATGGGGAAGTGGTGCGGTGTAGGGCCATGCCCAGCTGAGCAGGGGTCAGGGCGAGGTGTCCCTGGATGCATCCCAGCCCTGGGCACTGCGACCTCACCACTCCCTGCACAGGACACTTCCACCCAAAACATGAGCTGCACCAGATATCCCCATAGTTGGGGGGGAAATGAGGAGATCAGAAAGGTTCAGTGCATTCTCATTCGCCAGAGAGAGAGCAGAAATGGCACTATAAGCAGAGATGCTGCCTGGAAAATCAGCAAGGAGAAAACCCAGAAACCCACCAAAGAAAACACCGCAGAACTGCCCAAGGAAACACAAAGTTTGGGTAAGAGGCTGGATGGAGGAGTGTTGCAATTCGGGCAGCTCGTTCTCAGGCTCTTTGGGCTGGTTGACTCTGTTTGCTCGCGGTGTGGCATGAGAAATGAGGATTTGGAAAGGGGGGCAATAGTGGATATGGAGTGTGTGTGTGGGGGGGGAATCTGAGTTTGAAATGGGGTGAGATCCCTGCAAAGAAACAGCAGAAACACCCCAAAATCACAAGTTGGGGGGGGGGAGGAGGGGGAAAGTGGGAAAGCAAAGACAGGCAGGAAAATTTGGGGGCCCCTCTGCATTCCGCATGCACACAGTGGGGTTTGTAGCTCCAGGGGCAGCGAGGAGCACACAGGGGTTCCTGTACTCAGGGTGCAGGACCCCATTTGTGAGATGGCCTAAGGGAGGTCACCCCACAGGCACTGTCCCGAGGCTCTGCCTCCCACAGGATGGATGTGTAGATGCCCACCCCGGGGTACGGGATCTGGGTGAGCTTTTCCTCCTCCCCCCAACACCACGGGATGCCCACACAGGTACCACCCGAGCTCTCCCTTTCCCCCCCACCCCCCCACCCCCACTCCTTCAACTCCCGACCTCCGCACCGCCCCGGCTCCTCACCGAGCATCTTGCTGAGCTCCGCGTTGTGCAGGTCGGGGTTCTGCACGGCCAACCTTTTCCTCTCGTCTTTCGCCCACACCATGAAAGCGTTCATGGGGCGGCGGATGCGACTCTCGCCTCCCTTCTCCCCCGGTGGGCACCTTGGGGGCGGCCCCGCTTGCAGCCCCTCGGCCTCCCCCCCCTCCAACCTCTCCGGCCACGGGTAGGTGCTCATTAACGCGGCCATGGCCCGGCCCCCCCCGCCCCCCGCAGCTCCTCCGCCCGCCGCGCTGCGCTGCGTTGCGCTGCCCTCGGGGTCCCCGCGCAGTCCCAGCCTCCCCACCCGACCTCCCCGTATTTATGAGCTCCTTGGAAAAAACCTCCTCCAATGACACCGAAGGGACGGGGCTGCTCCTCCTTGTTTGCAAACTCCTCACCCGGGCAGGAGAAAACTTCTCCCCACCCTCTGCCCCGGCACCCCCGGGGGAGGTTGGGGAGGGGGGAAAGGGAGAAGGGGGGCACACAGCACCTCGCTGCCCCCCCCCCCCCCCCCTCCTTCCACCGCCCCCTCCCCTTTATAGTAGAATTTTAGTTCTTTTTCTTTTCTTTTTTTTTCTTGTACTTTGCTTTGCACGGCGGGAGCTGGAGGGGAGCTGGGCTCCCACCTACACCTTCAAAGCGGTGGAAAAGTGAGGAGAAGGGATGGGGGCATGGGATATATCACAGGGAAGAGGGAAGGGGTGAAAGGGGGTTGGAAAAGGAAAACGAAAATGGCCCCAGAAGTGTCCCCCTCCTCTACCCCCCCCTCCCACCGCTGGCTCCTTCAAACCCCTCCTAATGTTTTGGTGAGCTGCAAGCTGAGTCCTCCTGCCCAAACCATACATCTGTGCTGTGGCATCTGTGCTGCGTGTTCTCACCCCATTACCACAAATTCCCACCTCCCTCCTATGGGAGGAAGCTGGGACCCGGCTGGGGAGTTTTGCGGGGTCACGCAGAGCTGAGGACAGCAGAGGGGCTGCAGCGTCCCCTTGAAGTCCTCACTGCTCACCTCTGGGACATCAGGAGGTGGAGGGCCAACATGACACTTTATGGTCTTCTCAACTGATGCGTGTCATGGTGCAGAGCCCAGATGGGATGGAAGCACCACCATCACATCGCCGTATACCCCATGAACAAATCCTAAATCCCATTTTGGTGCAGGAAAATCAACTCTGGGGAGCTCTGTTCCAGTTGGGACTTAGAACCGGCACGAAGAACGATGGCACCAAAGCAGACCCCTCGCCCAATTCAGCCCTGAGGAATATATTTCAGCCGCTTGATTCCTTTATGATTCTGACCCCCTGACATGGGCTTGGCTTTGACTGATGGTGGATTTCCTCCCCGAGCTGCCAGAAAGCTTTGGGGCCGGAGGGGAAGGCATTTCCTCGAGCTGCCCCCGATGCATAGAGAAGGGGAAAAATCCAAGGGCAGGGTGTTTGTGCAGGTAGATCCGCGTGCCTGGGTGTTCCTATTGACTCTGGGCAGGTTGCAGGGGATGGGAAGCGAGGTTTGTGATCCGTCTGGGTTTCCTGGTTTGTGGCATTGCTGCGGTGCTGCTCCCCAGGACCATCCAAAATCCTCACGGAAGCATTTTCCAAAGGAACTGATTAAATCTGTTAAGCTATTTACACGCAGGCTGGATCAGAGCTGTGTTATCTGGGAATACAACAGGAAGGCAAACTTCTCTTCGATTTAAAAGGAGCAGGAGATTTCCTGAGCTTGGGATAGGCTGACAAACCCTCGACACACGCGGAGCAGTCGCCTTTCATCTGGGTTTCGGAGTCATGCTGGCCCCATGTCACGGCTCAAAGTGCTGGGACTGAGCAGGGACGGGGGCTGCTGAGCCCTCAACCCACTCTTGTGTGTTTTGCAGTGGGGAATGATAGAATCCTAGAATCACTGAGGTTGGAAAAGACCTCCAAGACCTTCAGGTCCAACCATCAACCCATACCCACCATGCCCACTAACCGCATCCCTCACTGTCACATCTCCATGTTGCTTAACACCCCCAGAGATGATGACTCCACCACAAAATGCTGCACTGGTCCACGTCTCTCTACTCCCCTTTTTTTTCCATACAGTTTTCCATAGGGACCACATCTTCCAGTGGTTGGCTACGCAGGGCTGGGACTTGTTGCAAAGACCTGAAGAGCAAAGACCCAATGAGCAAAGACTCAATGAGGAAAGACCCGAAGAGTAAAAACCCAATGAGCAAAAACCCAGAGCAAAGACCCAAAGAATAAAAACCTGAAGGGCAAAGACCCAGTGAGCAAAAACCCAAAAAGCAAAAAACCCAGTGAGCAAAGACCAAAATAACAAAATGCCGAGAGCAAAGACACAAAGAGAAAACAATCCAATGAGCAAAAACACAAAGAATAAACACCCAAAGAGCAAAGACCCAAGCAAAGACCCAAAGAATAAAAACCCAAAGACTGAAGACCCTAAGAGCAAAAACCCAGTGAGCAAAGACCCAAAGAATAAAAACCCAAAGAGCAAAAACCCAATGAGCAAAGACTCAAAGAGCAAAAACCCAACAAAGACCCAAAGACCAAACTCTCCATCCTCTTGGAAAACTGAGGGAGAAAACCCTCCACATCATCTTTTTTAGGCTTCCCCTTGGTAGGAGTTAAAACACACTGAAACTCAGGCTGTTTTTCTTTTGAACACGTTACGCTGCTCAGCATTATTTTAAGCTCTTGGGATGCACGAGGCCTGGATACAGTCATTATGATAGCACCACCAGCTCTACACTCAAGGCCCTGGGGACAAGGAGATCTTTTTCACAGCAGTGCTGCAATAAATCCTGTCCAGGGAAAAGGAAAGGAATGGATGGATCCCATCGGAATCCATTGGCACAAGGTGGCTGAGGCCGTCCTGCATTGCAATTCCAGGACGAGAGGAAAGGAAAAAATCCACGGAGGCTCTCGGACCAATAAGAAGCACTTTTCTTATTTTCCCCCCCCCTTCTCCTTTCGCACCTGGCATTCTGATTGCATTAGTAAGATGGGTTTCATTCTGCGCCCTACTGAAAATGCAGGTTAAACCTGTCCCGTAGGCAGCGCCGCGTTACATAAAGGCAGCCAGGCCATGTGAAAATGCCACCTCTTCCCTGCGACAGCACCGGGTCATTAGCAGCAGTCAGTCGGGGAAAGCTCCCCTGGACTTTATTTTTCTGCTTACCTCCCGGATTGCAGCGCGACGCTCACCTGTATCTGGGGCACGGGAAGAGGCAGGAGCTCTCACAGGGATTTGATAGCAGGGAAATTGCCAAGCTAAATCAGAGCCAGCAGACAAAGCGGGGAAAGGAAGCTTTGTTCTCCCCACGTCCTGGGGAACGGTGGCAGCAGCTCCCATGGGGTGGCACAGAGAATCCCCACGGCCGAGGCCATAACCGCTCTCTTCGATCTCCCCTTTTGGTGTTTTAACCCCAACAGGAGATTCCCTTTTCATGAAGCAACCTGCCCACCCCCCACCTTGGAGAGAAGGAAAACGTGTGAGGAAGCACAAATCCTGAATTAGCTCCATATTCGCATCTTCCTTAATTACAGACAGAGCCCTCCTCCCCACGGGGGGTTGTGCAGAGGCTGCTTTGCCCCCAGCCTCCTTCCCATCCAGGCACTGTGCGGGTGCTGGGAGATGCCACAGAGCTCCCTTTGCAGAGAAAGATGTAAAATGTGAACGTTTCAGCACACAGTGATCAGTATTTCCACCAGCACCATCTCTGAAATGCAGCTTGAACGTCCTAAAGCACATTTGGGTTGGTTTGAAGCGGGCAGCAGAACCGCCTTACCTTTTAAAACTGATCAAAACGGGGGAGGGGGGAAAAATCCAACACAAAACCCAGAGTGACTCAGAAGCAGAATTTAAGTTCTGACTTGCTGAGAAATGGAGTTTCACTTTGGCATCGGGACAATTTTCCCACTGCTGCAACCACAACCCTTTTCTATTTTTTTTTTTCCCTTTTTCTTTTCATCATATTTACCAGCCCCACACCACCAAAAGTTTGCTTACAGAAAGACAAGTTTGCTTATCCCAGGTATAAGCAGAGGGACAACACCCTTATTGATGGCTGCCCGGCCTTCTGGCTCACCTGGGCTGCACTGAGTGCAGAGGAATTGTCTTGGTCTGCATATACATGGGCTTGCTCTGAAAGTAACGCCTCCTATTTATTTCCATGGAAATTAAGACCAATACAAAGTGCACTTCCATGTCAGACTGCCCTTCTGCTGCCATCTGTCACATGGCAACAACACATCATGGGACATTGGTGGGAAGGCTGAGTGTCTACTGCCATCCCACCTACACCCTCAACAAATGCACGCACTGCCATGAAGCGACGGCACCAATAAGGTGTGATGGTGAAGTGAAGGATCTTTCCCTCTGCTAAAAGAGGGCTTGTGGAAGCCTGGTCAAGAGACATCAGCAGCAGCCTTTTGAGTTGAATTGCCATGACCACATTGCCAGCCACGCAGCCATGGACAAGCTGGCCCTTACTGCCATCCAACCACTCTGCAAATGCTGTGGCTGAGATTCACAGCCCCATAGCAAACCCCCGTGCCCAGGAGCTAGACAGATGCGAGCAATCCTCACGCTGTTGGAGGACACGTTGCTGTCAGGTCTTTTTCTAAGGCTGGCACGATGCTATGCAGTGTTTCCAGTGACTTTGTGTGGTTTTCCTCTCTTCTTGCAGCTTCCTTCCTCCCCTCGGTGCTGGCAGGTCTGGAGGTTTCGTGACGTAAATGGTGCCTTTTGAAGGTACGTGCTTGAAGAATTTCAGTCTTGTGTGTTTAAACAAGAGAAATTGGTTAATTACATTGGTGCATTCAGCTAATTTTGCCAAGAGCTGCTTATTTGAAAGAAATGAGCACTGGAATGAGCACTGTCTCTTCCTTAAAGGAAAACTGCATTAATTTAACAAGATGCTGAACGGAATGGGTCCCTGAGTGCATTTCCCACATTTCACAAAGCAGCTGCATCTCAGCTGAAATTCACATAGACATAGGGATATGAAGTTCTAAATCCTAATTTTTGTTTTGAAACTTGTGCTTAATAGAGCCAACAATCAGTTCCTGGATAGAAATTGGAGGAGTGGTGCTCATACCAATCCTGCATCTCCAGAGCAGCAGAATCATAGAATGGTTTGAGTTGGAAGGGACCTTTAAAGTCCATCTGTCCCACTCCCTGCACTGAGCAGGGACACCCACAGCTCCATCAGTGCTCAGAGCCCATCCAGCCTGACCTTGGCTGTCTGCAGGGATGGGGCACCACTGCCTCTCTGTGCAACCTGTACTGGTGCCTCACTGAAGCAGATACCATCCAACCAAACCCTGTGTCCAGCTGCAGCTCGAGCAGACTTTGGTTTGGTTTGGTAACAAAGTACTTGGAGTGGTTTCTACTTTCCAGGCGATTACAAACACAAAAGTTAGCGTATTGCCGTTCACAGAGTTGCAACTGCAATTCATGTAGCTTGCCATGGAGCAGGCTTTGCACCAATAACTCATTTCACAGCTCAAAGTGAGGAACAACTCCATATCCACAAGGAACTCACGACAAAGTGTCATTTTCTTCTATGACTCTGCTGACCTGGGATCACCAACACGGAAAACTATTTAGTTAAAGACTGAAAATGATGTAGCATCACTGCCGTGTGTGCATCACTCTCAATCTGGAAGCAAAAGCAGACTGTGGCACTCATTTTGCTTGGCTTCTGGGTAACTTCACTTGGAGGTGCGTTAAATTCGTGCTGCAATGTGTGGGTATGACATATAACAGAAGACACCGCTATTTACAAGTCCAGCTTTTGTGGGAATAAACCCAAATCATTTCTTTGTGCTCAACACACTGCTAATTCCACCACCCAAGTAATGATGTAACTCTTACGCTTTCTAAAACGACTTTCTTGCCAAGCTGTTTGGTTAAAGCTGAACTCACAGCCCACTATAAACAAAAGCAATTATTTATTACTTTGAAACAAGTGGCGGCGTTGGTCATCCACTTCACAAGGCACCATCTGGATGTGGGAAGGCACCACTGCTGGATGTGGCTCTGGGCAGCCTGGGCTGCTGGTTGGTGACCTGCACACAGCAGGGGGTTGGAACTGGATGAGCACTGTGGGCCTTTGCAACCCAGGCCGTTCTGTGATTCTACGATCTGGCATGAAGAGCTTTCGGTTGCGTGATGCAGTTGGTGGATCACTAACATACAAAGAGAAGTGCAGCAACGTGAGTCACTTCTCTCAGATTTGAGTGTGTCGGGAAAGACTTTTTTTCCCCCGCCACCCATGTTCTGCCCAAGGCACATTAAAATAAAATCCCCCATTTCCCAGGAAAAAGTGAAATTCCCATTTGTTGTACAAACAGAGAATCTTCCGTTTGTAGCCCGTATTTCAATCTGAGGCAGACTGAAATCATAGGCAGACTGTGCTTAACAGCAGTAGCACCATAAATTTAAAGATTTATTCCTTTTTTTGTTCTTTCTGTAAGTAACACTGGAATCTGGCCAAATGCTTTCCGTAGGAATTAGCACGAAGAAACTCGTGGAAGATTAATAGAACAAGCAAACAAACCCAGCAGTACTGGGAGAAGGAAACCCTATTCATTTACTAGCAACTTTTAAACTTAAAATTCCAAAGAGACCACAAGGTTGAGCTCCTTAGGAGTTAAAAACAGCATTATGGGAAACATGGCGGGGCTCCTACTGACAAAAAAAACCCTCCAACTCATAGTGAGAAAGGAACTAGAAGAGCTGCTTTAACACAGAGATGCTTCAATACAATGTGAAACATTATTTTGGTGCTTCTCCCATTGAGAAGATCATTTTTTTTCACGTCCCAAGTGTAGCAATCTGATGGTGTTCATGGGAGCTGTCGTTGAAGGAAGGCAGGGGACAAGCTCAGCACAGCGGCATCGTGCTGGCTAATATCTGCATAGTGCTGAAAAGCAAATGCCATAAGGGTTAAAAACCAGCACCCCGGCAGGGAGCACAGGGAAAAGCAGCTTGCTCTTCCTGCCAGTACTGCACATCTTGCTGCAATGAATGAGAGTGTCCTCGGGGCAAGATAGGTGCACTTGCAAACCAACACAGCTTACAGAGTGAGAAGCCCAGTTCAGCTGCAACTAAAACAACCGAAGCCATGTGGGCCACGTGTTGTGGGCTGCATTTCCCCCGATGGACAATAAAAGCAGCTGAAGGAAATTCTTTCATATTACATCTGCGTCTTCTCAATGTTTTTCAAACCACATTCAGCTCCTCATTACTGCTTTCCAGGTTTACAATGAGGAACAGGCTCTCATTTGGTTATAAATGTAAACTGCAAGGTTTCAACGCCTAAATGCAATACTACTGCAGATAAAATCTATTTGATCTCCTAATTTCATACAAAACTTTGCTCAGCCAACACATCTTTGAATGGTAGGTGCATCATTGGGAGCACCATGAATATTGCCAGGGAACCAAAGATTTAGATATGGATCATAAAGGCACAGCTCCTGTAGCTCTGATTCAAAGTTAATATTACTTGACAATAGCTAACTACTGGATAGGGAACGAAGGGAGTAATTTTATTTCATTCTTTAGTACTGACACTTAAGCATAATCCTTTAATTGGACTCAAGTATTTTGGGAAGAAACAACATTCATTTTGTATGTAAACGGAGATCAATGAAAAAATTACACATAACTTTGCAAAAATCAGTGAAAAAAATACATCCAGTTTTGCAAAACCCATTCTGTTCCTAGGAGTTGAGCTTTCAGAAATGAAAACAATGGTGGCTTTACTAATAAAGGCAGTAGTAGGATGTCAGTCAGTGTGAAACAGCAGGTGGCCATTTACCACTGTCCTAAGTGCAGTGGTTAAAACCAGCCCTGACTTTGCTTACTGTTGCCTGAAATGGAGTCACACCAGCGTGAATCTGGGCTGAAGGAGGTACAGGTTCTGCCTGTGTAAAAACAGAGCTCCTACATCACCTCAAAGGTGAACCTTAGGTTTGTCTTTTTTATCAAGTCTTGCTTTGTAGCCAAGAGTGGTGAGGTGCTGGAACAGCTGCCCAGAGAGGCTGTGGATGCCCCTGGAGATGATGGAGGCCAGGTTGGATGGGGCGCTGGGCAGCCTGGTCTGGTATTAAATGGGGAGGATGGTGGCCCTGCATGTGGCAGGGGTTGGAGCTTCATGATCTTCGAGGTTCCTCCCAATCCAAGCCATTCTGTGATTCTATGATTTGTAGCCATGCAGTTCTTGGCCCCATACATGGATACATTTAAAATGGCACTGAAGCTCATGCTGGCCTGTCACAGTGTTCTCAGCCCCCTTGTAAGAGCTATATTTAAACACAATCTGTGGTTTTGGTAGGATGAAGAGCTCAGGTGTACTCAGGACTTAATTACAACTTGATGGCTGGCTGGTGCTTATGTAGGCTCCTCATCCAGCACGATAAAGTTCAAGTCACCTCACAGTCTCAGTTTGACTCACAGACAGTTAAACCTACTTGCAGCGCTTCTTTTTCTTTCTCTGCATCCCTTCAGTGCACTCCTCTTCCTCCTCTTTTTGCTTTTTGTGCTTCTTCTTACGGTGTTTCTTTTGCATTGCCTCAGAGTCCTCAACGCTGGGATCTTCCCCATCAGATACTCCCATATACATTTCTCCATCACCCATATTTTCATCGCAACTAATGCTTTCCCCATCATGCTGCCCTTTATGTTTCCTTTTCTTTTTCCTCGAGTGACATTCATTTAAAGGAGCATCCAGTTCCTTCCCATTCAAGCTACTTATCTTACACTTTTTCCCTCGTGGCTTCTCACAGTGCTCTGTACTCTCTGCCTCATCTCTCTTCTGCTTCTTCTTTTTCTTCTTGGCTTTAGTTTTCAGTCCTTCTGAAAGCTCCAAGGTAGCTTCTGCTGTAGGGCAGCAACCATCCAAACCATCCAACTTTGTTTCTGCTTCATTCTGGGATCCTTTCAGTTTTGCCATGCGCTTGGCAAAATATTCTTGGACAGTGAGAACACTCTTCACAATATTGGCACTGTCTGTAGACTCAGAGAGCCAGGAGCCTCTGTGCTTCTCTTCCTGAGACTCAGCATCAGTAGCCTCGTCCTGCAGGGGAACAAGGAGGAGCAGGAGTGAGAAAGAGAAACAAAGTGGCCTTAAACAAAGTTGAAAAACGAGAAGCACTTAAAACCATGTGCTGCTTTGAAAATTAATGGCAGCCTTTGGCAGAAGTGAGGCTGTTTGGCCACAAGTTGGACTCGATGATCCTCATGGGTCCCTTCCAACTACTCTATGATTCTCTGACCATCAGGTAGGGAAGGGGATATGAATTTCTGTTGTTTTTGTTTTCTTACTGTTTACCTACTCCTATGCAACTCATGCAGGTTACATATAACACTGTCACACACCGTGTGTTACACTCACTTTGTCTCATGTCTCTCCAAGATACAGAATAACATAAAAAACAATGCAGTATGACCAGTTAGCCTGTGGCATAAAGGAAACCCCATGCCCCAGGGTACCTCCTATAGCGAAGTGCAACAACTTATGATGTACAGAGTAATCCAGCACTGATGCACCTCTTCCATCTTATCTGATCTTTAGAAATGTTTGTTTCGTAGCTGGTTTACTGTCATTGTGTCCTAGACGTTGTTATTTAAACATGCTCCATTTGATCATATGTTATCAGATGGCAAAAACAACATTGCAGGTTAGATCTTACAAGGCTTTTGCATACACAAAATAAATAGCTACTGAACTCTAGCTGCAGGTGAGCAGCTATAAAAAGAACCTCGTGCCTTGCAAATAAACATAAAACAAAAAGCAAACTACAGCCATTGAGCTGGATGTTATGTGTGGCACGAGGAGAACTGACTCTGAAAAAGCAACAAACACAACAAGATGAAAAGATGAAATACATAACTTGTTATCTCTGACTTGCAAAACAAACATGCTAAAAAAGCAGATGAAATGCAGACCTGTTGACATGGATCATAGAATCATAGAATGAATCACAGAGTCATAGAATGCTCATCAATGCTCATCAATGCTCATCAATGCTCATCCAGTTCCAACCCCCTGCTGTGTGCAGGTCGCCAACCAGCAGCCCAGGCTGCCCAGAGCCACATCCAGCCTGGCCTTGAATGCCTGCAGGGATGGGGCATCCACAGCCTCCTTGGGCAACCTGTTCCAGTGCCTCACCACCCTCTGGGGGAAAAACTTCCTCCTCATATCCAGCCTAAACCTCCCCCGTCTCAGTTTCAAACCATTCCCCTTGTCCTGTCACCATCCACCCTCACAAACAGCCGTTCCCCCTCCTGCTTATACGCTCCCTTCAAATACTGGAAGGCCACAATGAGGTCTCCCTGGAGCCTCATCGATACCCAAGCACTCAGAACTGACCCTTTGTGGCATGGCCTTCTTCTCTGCAAAAGCCACAGATCACCTTTAGAAAACCCCACATTTTGCACTGACTGAGATACTACACTGTTTTTTCCATTCATAAATGCACATACAGATGGGAGCACCCATTCTACCCACGCATCCTGTACACGGACTGATATAAAATGCAAGCCAATCAGAGCAGGTGTATTTCACAGTGCATATACCAGTGCACGGGGTGAAGGCCAGCAGCTAACAGGGAGAAATGAAAGCACTTATCACAGCGCTTTATAGCTATCGCATGATGGTGCAGATCTGCCATCTGCTTCTCTTCAGAGCTTCACCTGCAAGCTGACACGCGTTTGGTGAGGGTTTGTAAGTAAGGTTTTTGCAGGTCTGACTCTTTATACATCCATAACCTTTACTCACACGAGCAGGAATGCACAACTCTGTGTCATTAGTGATGCATTACGAGCAGCGATTTCCTCATACGTTGGCTTTCAAGAGAGCTATTCCAGTGGAACGAAAGCAACGCCACACTTGAGATTCCAGTAATGTTTGTGTGGACACTTATCAAAACGATTTACTTTTCTTGCAGGAGTGCCATCAGGTAAGTTTATGAAGAAGTCCACAAAGAGCTGTTTCACATCAAGGAAAAAAGCACATGTAGCTACACACATAAGGTAACTACACACATAAATACAGCGTGCATAGAGCATAAATAGAGCTGCAGCAGAAGCTTGACAAGACACAATCCACAGAATCAGTGGACCAGGCTACACTTGTAGTCACTGTCTTATTTAACGATACACATCCCAGCCCCAACGCAGATCAAAAAATAGATGCCCTGCTAAAGCAAAGTGAACCAGGTCACTTTCTTTCCCTTTCCCTTCTACCCACAGAAGGATTTTGACATCTTGCACTGCAAAATGACAAAGTCTCCCAGGTTTTCTTCTGCCAGCCAGAACGTTTCCCTCCCCACCCCAAGATGTGAAATGCACTGGCCACCAGAACACCAATTATTCCCTGGCCAACCAGGAAAGGATTTTCTCATTCCCTTGGTGACTTTGAGTCCTGACAACTTAATTACTGTAATTGAAGGCAAATATTACTTGAACTCCACACATTTCTTTTTATAAGATACATTAGGCATATTAAAAAAAAAAAAAGAAAAAAAAAAGAATAGCATTGCTTTGGTTAAGCTCAGTTCAGTAGGTACGCATGATCACAGAAAATCAGAACCTTGCTCAGAAACTCCTTTATTGATAAGAATTTTAATAACCACGGGTCACCGAACACAGAACTAACAGGGCATGGAGACAAACGAGGAGGTGCCAACTCTAGAAAACCTCTCTGTTTAGGAAAAGCTTGTGTAAAGCCATAAATCATCCACAAGGGCTGTTACATGCCAGCAGTGCTCCCCTTCCTGCCCAAGTAGCCATGGGAGCACTGCTGGAACTCTAAACATGGCTCTTCTCCCACCTCTCGATAGAAGAGTTGCAGCTTATGCAATTCCAAAAATAAGATGCACTTAAATGAATACTGCATTTCTGCAACCTCCTACGAGCAACTGTACGAGAGAAGAGAGGGAAGATTCCTGCTCCAAAGACTGAAGGACATGTAAAAGGAAAAGAGCAATTCTGCTGTAGCTGCTGGGAGGCCTGCAGGCTTTGGAAGAGCTTTGTGTCCTTCAACTGCCAACAAAATCAGGCTGAGGAGTTGGGAACAGCAGTCTGCAGGGAGTTGGTAGGATGGTCCCAAGCAGCAGCAAAGCACTGCTTAAAACAGTGTTAAGTGTGGAGTGATTAAGAGGAAACAATAGGAAAATTCGAGGAGAGGCTGGGAAGTGCACAGGAAAAGATGAGGGTCAATTATAGCCAGAAGTCCCCAGTAAACATCATCTGTTTATGCAATTGGTTGAACGTATGGAAAATAAAGCACTTTAAGTACTAGCAGGGTTGGTTTTTTTCTGCCTGCTTTCTTCACTTTATACACACAGTGCTGATTTAATCATTAAGCTAGCACACCAAACTTGTGGAGTGAAATCCTGGCTCTCTTGATTCGTGCAGGATCAGGACTGCATGTCCCAGGCACTGTACTCTCAGAGCATCTTTCAGCCATAGCTATTTAGGGAAGGAAAAAATATGGCATGATGGCAAATTACATGCTGAAAAGGATTCACATCACAAGGAGAAGAAAGTTGGGCAGCAATAGAATGGTCTGCAGATACCTCGTGAAATCAGATGAGCTTCAAAGCCAAACATATTTGGAGTTTTGAGATCTTGGGCTGAAGAATTAACACCCAAAAATCCAACAACATAAAAAGCAAACTGGAGCAGAGCAGGGTGCCAGTACACACACACCAGGAGCAGGCTGCAGCGTGGACTGATTCAACAAAACGTTCCTCCTCTTCAGATTGCAGGCATTTCTTAGCACTTAAAGCTTAAAATAGGTGAATTGAAAAAAAAAATTATCTACTACACAGTCTAAGATCTGCCAGATACGAACTACAATTACTGGAGTCAAGAGATTTCACATGCCTTTGCTTCCTTGTTTGCAAATGAGGGTGCACTACTTCACAAGTCATTTTGTTAGCCCAAATTGACAAAAATGACACAAAAAGGAAAAGTGCAGAAGAGCCAAGAATAAAGGCAGAATACAGCTAAACTGTAATTTCAGTAGATTCTCGCTTAAGTTACAGAAAATGGGTAGATGAAGGAAGCAGAAGCTAAAGCTCCAGCCTGAGATGCAAGGCGATCACATGACGCTCCATGGCTTTACACTGCCACCCCCACTCCACAGCCTGAGTGAATCACAGTGATTAATTACTTTCTTGTTGAGAAACCATACCAACACGATTAATTTAATCCAGCTCTATTCCTGCTCTTCCAGCTCCTCAGTGCTGGTAGGACCCCCATGCAGCGTGCAGAACTTGATAGGCAACAACAACCCAGGGCATCCCTGTATCTTTCCAACCCAGTCTAGCTGTAATGCAGGGAAGCACGGCAGATTATTAACAGAGAATCACTCTGCAGTTCTGCAGACATGAAGGATGACAGTCTTGCTTTAAGGAGCTGACAACTTAAAATTAAGTATAAGCACAAACATTTGGATTGGGATCAAACAGGCAAGAGAGTGAACAAAGACTTGCAGCATGATGAGTTTAAGCAGGATTAAAACAAATGCATGCATAAATAAGGCCATGAACCATCAGTTCTGAAGTCGATTCTGGCGTAAGAATGGGTACCCAGGAGGCTCCCACTTTTTCAGTTCACATGATTAAGACTGGTATACTACAGACAGCATCTTAGGAAGAGCCAATGATACCAGGTTTCTAATACAGGAAGAGCTGCTGCCAAGAAAAGGGGAGAATTTCCCCTGTGCTTACGATGGAGAAGACAAGTGACAAGATATAAACCACAGATTTTTGCTAGCAGGATGAAGCTGTCAGTATATACATGAAACCTCAATCACCAGGAGCCTCAACCACCAAAAGCAACTCTGAAAACTAGCAGGAAAGCATTAGGTGGAGTTAATCCTAGTTTGGCCCCAAGCTGCTGGAGTTGATGCACCACTCTCAGCCACAGGGTTTGGGTGGCATTGCGTGGAGCTGGGGGTTGGACTCAATGATCCTTGTGGGTCCCTTCCAAATGGGGGTATTCTATGGTTCTACAGAATGGAATATAGGCTATCTGGGCTCTAGAAGCATTTTATAGTCCTCTAAT